TAGGCGGAGAGCACCACCCTGGCAATTCCATGTGTAAACTGAGAAGGTACATTGTACTCATGTCTACTCTAGCCCAGCCTTACACCACATTATTCAAGTGTTGGCATGTACCAGCAAAGATTACTGGAATGATAGAGAGGCTATGTGAGAGGCCTTGTTCACTACATGATGTATATGCCAAAGGCAATTGTAGCCCAAAGCTGGCAGTCAATGGTTTGATCCAGGAATGATATCATTAGGGTTGAGGAAGTAATGTGAAGGGTTTAGGCACTATAGGTGACAGACAGTGCAAATGCTGAAACTGTTGGAGTATAGAGGTATATCTGGTTGTATAATATATACAAAGCACTTTAAGATAACAAGCTCTATCGCCAAACTCTCACAGCTCATTGTTCTTCAAGGGATATAGTGGCTGTGTGACAGATTTTTACTGAAAATAAACCCTAAATGTATCAAAGGTGATGGTACTTCAAATTAATAAGATCAGGGTCTAATGGAAGTATAATCATAACTGGAGATTAACTTTCATAAATTGGTACAAAGTATAGAGGCTAAGAGTACATTCCTGTTATATATATGTAATATATGCGAAGGATCTCGTTTCATAAATAAATGGACAAAACAGACATGTATGTGTGAGGAGGTATTGGTGCCAAAAACCACATAATCAATGGTCTCTGGTTTGATATATAGTATATTTGTGGTGGGTTGTGGCTGTACATATGAATTCATCTGTTGACATACATCATAAACATAAGTCATATAAATGTTTACAAGAAATCTCTCCCCAGAAACACCTGAATGTTTGTCTTACTATGTGGTGTGTACATGTCTTCTACCTACAAACTGCTACTGCCACGGTTCCATATCATCATGAACACAATGAATAGGAGCCTTCTTCCTTCTGGTAATATATAATTAATGGAATAACACGCTATTTCATTCCTATTATCCTATTATCCATTCATACTGTCCAAAGTTTTTGTTCGACTGGAAATAAGGGTCAATCCTCAAGAAAAAGGAAAAAAATCTAACACAGATACACACAAACAAACAAACACACACACACACACACACACACACACACACACACACACACACACACACACACACAGCCTGTACAAAAAAGTACAATTTCCTATAGGATCCCATTGGGGTTTATTGGGTTCTATGGGACTTTTTCGAAAGGGAGAGAATGTCAGCAATGATGACTAACAGAGGGAACAAGACATAGGTAGAGGTAGTCAGTTGACTACACAGGATTCACATTCTGATACAGATGCATTTTGAAATGAAACACTGGATAAATTCACACACACACACGCACGCACACACACACACACACACACACACACGCACGCACGCATGCAGGCACACACAACCTAACAGGTGTGATATATTGCAACTTAGTGATTATCAATCACCTCTGTTTCCTGTTGTCATCCACAAAAATCTATGTGCACAGATTAATTGCTAGTCCTGAGTAGATAACACTTATTATAGACAACTGTTTTCACTGGGTGGAAAACCACGACCTTCTCATTTCCTGTTATCATCAAGTCACTGCCAATCTGCCATTAAAAAGAAATTAATAATAATAATAATAAACATCAATACACTGTTCACTCCCCCTCAAAAAAATCAAATTAACCAAAGTGGCATCAGGACCGCCATTAACTTCCCATGCTGATGCCTATAAAATTGGCAAATTTCTTCCTGCATCATCCTAAAGGTCAATGTCACTGAGAATTAGGAAACCTCCAAGCAAACTTGCTAGTGTTTGTTACTCAAAACTGTTAGAAAAATATGCACAAAAACTGGTAAAAAAACATCAACAACAGAATTGGTTATATTCATTAACATTCAACAAAAATCACTCCAAGTCAGAAAACAAACATGTATCTGTTTTTTTTCCTTCCAAAATCATCCCTGTTGACTAAAGAAAAAAGCAATTCCCTTGAAAGAAAAAAATTCTGGGTAACCTAGTGCATGTTAAACACAAGTTATTTATTTCTCTAAGTATGAGGAAGTACATGACAAGAGGCAGCATTCCTGTAGTCTCCACCTCCTCCTCTCGTCCCTCTCTGCTAATTGCAACTAGGTGCCTAAGGCTAAGAAAGCGTTGAGGTTACTCAAGAAAACATGGCAATAAACAGTGTTAAATAAAAACAGAAATGTTTGGAACTTAGTTTTTGCCATGGCCTTTTTGCACTGTCGATAATTTAAATGTTTCTTCCTTAATCCTTTCTCGACATTGATTTTTTTCTACCTCACCTGTTGCCTAACTTGTATGTGTAAATGGCAAAAAAAATAGTTATCAAATTACCAATACAGGTCTATCTGTAACAAAGTAAAAATTGAACTTCGATGCATCATGCATTGGACCCATTTAAATAATGAAGCCAAAAAAATACAGCGTGTTCTGCATCCTTGCATGTATCCCCTCATGATTTACTTCAGACTAAGGTGAGCAGCATCGTGGACCATGGAGTAGTTTTTTATGAGAAATCTCAGGTTCAGGAAAATCTCAAATTCTGGGCTTCGCTTGATTGCTAACAGCGGAAATGGACTGAGCTACTTAGTGGGGATTTTAGCAAAACTGGTCATAGGGCATTTTCAATTATTTAAATGATCAACCTCAAATAAATGTAGTTTGTACATCAAAATGAGCTACTGTCACCACTAAAAGTATAATCAGTGCTCAGACAATTTCATTTTCCTCAAGGAGGTAAGTCTAGGGACAAAAGAGTAGGTCGTCTTCGAATCTTTGGGCAATACAACTTGGATAGCTCAAATTCCTAACATGTTTTACAAAGACTCATTAACAACAAAGTCATCTTTTGAAGAAAAGTCCTTAATAACAACTTTGACAAAGATTAAAACAAATAATTTGAATAAAACCACATGTACATGAAATAAAGGTACATCTTTAAGTGTGAGATACTGCATGCCACCATCCTTAACCACTATGAGGCTCAGAGGATAATTATGGGATATCAATTATTTTCTATAAAACAATTGATATTAAATGTTTTCAATGTGACATAAGTAAATCAACTAATGCTGGTTACAAATCACTAACTTTACTTCAATACAAAAAAAAAGGCCATGGCTTAAATGATCCATAAACAAAGGCCATGGATTGTATAATGAAGAGGCATTGGTTTCCTAATTCCATGAATTATTGATAAAACCCCCAGGAGATCTTCTTCCTGGAGAACAAGGCCGAAAGAAATTAGGGCAATGAATAATGTAAATGACCCTATTCCTACTCACCTGTGACAGGTCGTGGTGACTTTTTCTGAAACTTAACGATCATCAGTTACAGTTGAAGCTTAGTACTGAATTAAAATCTCCATCAAATTCAAGCAGTTGTATTTCATCCCTGGTCAACTTATCTCAATAGGTGGGATTGCCGTTTGTATCAATTACCATTCTGGGGCCAACTTAACGGACAGGACAAGTCTTAACGATTGACTTCGGGGAAAATTATGTAGGTTGTTTAAATGGTTATATGTAGTATAGGTTTACAAAATCACTGCATTATTGATTTGAAAGTTCAGGTAATTTCACCAGAAATCACATACCAAAGAAATGTGATCACTAAATAATGTGCCTGGGATGTCTCTCACTAGACCGTGTCATTTGGTAATGTTCCTGTATAAAAGAGTGAACATCCCAAGCAAAGGCTACCCACTTCCCAGAATGGCCCCAACTTGCTGTATTGCTATCAATGGGATAGACACTTCAAGGGTTAATTTTTTGTAAAGATTGTCATTTTGCTGCGGATCTCTTAAAATGAGGTAAGTCAGCATAACCAAACTTCTAGAAAGTCTTAAAATCTATGAAATGTTTTCTGTAGTTCAAGTAGCTGTCTAAATATAAACTAGGTTATAATTTGTTATTAATAATCTTTCATGGTTTAACATAATTGCACCTGTAAGATTATCACAGGACTCAGCTCATTATGCCAGCCTGACGGAGCATTAATTGTTGTCAGTGATTATTATAATGTGAATGGTGTAATTAGCTAATAATGTATCTATGATGTATCAACTGAAGTGTGGTAGTCTCTAGCATCTGTAGAACATGGCTAGGTTGTTTTTCCCATCTATTAAATCACACTTCTACGAAAAGATTTAACTTTCAGGATTTTACAGTCTCAGAGCATAAACAAACCTTACATCCGAAAATAAATTCGGGCCATTTCAGGCACTTTGGTTTAACATTCTTGGTGAGACATTCTTGATATAAATAATAACCTTTAAACACAGAAACCATTTTCTAGACAGCCTTTTTTTTTTTTTAACTGTCCCCAAAACAAAGTGCTGGTCAATGACTTATTAATGCAAAAGTTAAGTACTTCCTGTTTTCTTGATGCCAGGGCATTTATCAAAAAGATTATGAGCTTCATTTCCATAACACCTGCCTGAGGTACTCCAATACGACAGTTGGACTGGACTGACTTATTTATTTCTAAAATGATAAAAAAAGTAAGTGTTTTCTATATCAGCAGTAGATATATTGACAATCAGTAATCTCAAAGTGAGTACCCAAACCATCCTTTCCCATTTAAGAACATTACGTCTTACATAATCAGATTATAAGTTCCATGGTACCTTTAATTGTTTCCTATTTGCTTCAAGAGTCTCCGTTGGTCAAAAAGATTATGCCATAGAAAATTCTAACATTGGTGCTCAAACACAATAACCGTCGGATCTTTTAACACATATCAATATCCATAATGTCCAAAATGTAAATGTTAGTGGACTGATCAAGTCTTACTATGGGGCAGTCAAAGATACCGGATACTATAATTGGCCAAGTCTTTAGGATCTGACATATCACTGTTAGCTCTCCTGATCAAAACAAACTTTGGGAGGAGTTTACAAGGATAAATCCCCTGTCTTGTTAGCTAAGCTTTGTACACATGACCAGGTATGGCCGGGCAATGGTGAAAAAACATGACATCCTAAGTCTGGATTCCAGTATTGAAGTACCTTGGCTTGGCTCCCTGCTTCAATGATTTCTCAATGATAATGTCAGCACTCCACCAAATGCTCAATTTGTGGTCAATTAGAACTGATCTGTCAGATCACTAGGGCTGATCTCTCTGATCACGCAGCTCATCATCAAGTCATTACTCACAAACAGTCCTCATCAAGTACTCAGCAATGACCGGGTAGAGATGACCACTTAGAGATGGACGGTCTGATGGACAGAGATGACACTGCTGATGGCTATCATATCCCACCTAATGACTAGCAGCCATTAGTGAGGGCAGGGGGTGGGGGGGGGGCACATTTTCACAGCACTGAAAGGAGTCCACTTGGCTAATCCTGACTTGTGTAGAGACTCTAGAGAGTGAAAAGGGATCTGGTTGTATTACTTCTGGCAGAAACCACTTTAAGTTCATATCAACATATTGTCTAATCTGTTCCTTGTGACACAATGGTTGGTTAATTGCATTACCCCATAAAGAAAAGACAATGGAGAGAAATGTTTTGTCTGGTGTTATGTATCCAGACTTAACCAAGTGATCCAGACTTGAAGCACCATTGCAGCCGCTCCAAATCCTGCCCTGTGTAAACGTAACTGTAAAGGAACAGCAATTAAATTAGCTCCCTGTGGTCAACAGTCCAAATATTGGTAGATCTCTCTCCTCTCAGTTATTGACAGGGTACATAGATTAGGTAAGCAACCCATAGGTAGGAGGTAAATACCTCAAGTCCAGCACACACTCTCAGGTATGAACTCAGCTACCTCAAGGAAAGTTAAAAGTTTAGTTTAATTTGCTTTTATTTTTTAAATGTATGGAAAATAAGATAAACATCTAACATGCTGATATATAGAAGCAGAGCACACCAAGAGACTGACCTACACATCATGAGGCCAGTGGCTCAGCTCACACATGTCAGTGTGCTTTGGTCTTTGGGAAGGAATATGCAGAACTGGAGTGTTTTGCTCCAACCACCTTGCAAAGCTAACATTAGTCTAACCACAAATAGACTTGTACTGAACTTGTCAATTACAACACAGATGAATTACAACAAGTAAGGGGACAGTTCAGAGCGACATTAACATTTTCTCTTATATTCAAATTCTTGGGTAGTTGTTTTGGCCATTTCTCGTAGTGACCATTGACATTAAAACACTTAGGACCTAATTTTGAAATAACTATATGTTGAAGAGAAAGATATTTTGAATGACTTATTTACTATTCTTTCAGAAACTTGAACATACATCCTAAAAGGCGACTATTTTATCACTAACAAACTGGACCTAGACAAGAAAACAGGAGCTGAGGAACTCAAAAGTAAGTTTCTGTTTTTATACTTTAGGGTTTCCCTTCTATCATTTTGACTGCTAATTTTACATTGTAAACCTAAATTCATTCTTCTTCATTAATAAATTCCTTATTTCCTAAAAAAAATAGATTTTGGTAAAAATCTATACCAAAAGTTTATTTTAATGGGTTTTTTTTACATCAAGCCAGTTCAATAACATTTTCTTCCTGATGAATACATAGTTTGTAGCTTCCAGTGATAATAAGATAAATTATTTTGATATACCAATTCCTTTTATATACATTTTTACTACTCAAATCTGTAAATCCAACAACAAAAACTTCCCTGGCAATAACCCAGCATTAAATATTCAGTTTTTCTCTAAAGAGTGTAATCTAGCCCCCATCTAGCCTCCAAACACAGAAATAAACTGCACCTTGGGACTATTTAAGCCTATATGCAAGCTATCACTATCATCTCAGTGCATTGAGTTGATTTCATTAGGGCCCGCAGTGACCAGGGCTAACTCCAAACAACCGACAAAACTGACCATGAGAGAGAACAATCTGGTGTCCACTATGACAGTTGATCAATTCACAAACACTATGCATCTTGTACGGTACTGGTTAACAGCTGGCAAAAATAGATGTACTGTTCAATACTGGCCATATCAGAATATGTGTAACAAAATTGCTAAGTTCATGTAAGTAACAGTTTCTAATTGAAATAGATTAATTAATTGGATGACCCATTTGGCATTAGTGCAAAGAAAAAATTACATTCATTCATAAAATTATGAATCTTTAAAGCATAGGCAAATAATTACCCTAAAAATCATTATTTTCCTTGCAAATTGCCTAGCACTCGCATACTTAACCAAGCATTCAGTCTAAATGGGTCTGTAAATCTATATGTTAACTTTAGTGTAAATAACTTAGTGTAGAATGTCATACAATTTACAGCCCTGCGTGTTTCTTTTACCAAACAATCAATAGAACAAGTGAAAACTTTGACACCGCACCGAAGGTCTTTCACTTGAGGTAATACTGATAATGAAATCCTATCATATGACCTAAAATTAAAGGAATGACAGGAGATACAAAGTTAACAAACATTTATGAATGACAGGAAAAGTTAGGTCAATATTGATACAATGTATAAAAGTGACAAAGCACCAATACCAGCAATACAGTGCCAAAGTCATGATAAAAGTAATAGAAAGTATCAAAATAATCCAAAAGTATCAAAATAGTGCAATAAAAATACAATGTATCAGAGTGAAAATAATGGAGGTGAATAAATCAACTTCAGCATATTCAATAGAAATGCACAGTTATATGATTAGCAATAACAGTGATTTAGAGAGTGAGTTTTGTGATGAGAAATATATCAAAAGCATTGAACAGAGTAAAATTCCTCAAGCATAAGGGCCAGATCAATGAAATTACACTGGGAATGGTTTTCTATTGCATTACCAGCAACTGGAACACTTCATGCAATTTTTGTTCAAGATGACCTGGTTTTCCTCGAAGCAATGCTGGCTTTCACTTAATGTCCAGTTTCCACCTCTGATCACAAGAAATAATATTGTGTTGAGTTTGGCAAAGGTCAGTCAATAAATACAGACTGTATAGACCAAGTCACCATATCCCTATCACATAGTATATTATCATTCCTGTTAATTCCACCATGATACTGTGATTTCTAGGAAATCTATGAGGTTATATCTATTGTATAAGATTTTTCTTATCAAATCAACGACCTTCTGGTGATCCTCCCACCTATTCTGTGATGTTTTACTTATCTCTCTCCCAAGGGGCCCTTGATAGCCTCAACTCCAACACCCCCCACCTCCACCAAAGATAAACTAAATCCCTTCTCTTCACCTGCCCAGCTTCTAATGCTATGTACCAATGAACTGTTGCTGATTGTCCCCCATACCCCTAATATCTCTGTCTACCCCCCCCCCCCCCCATTCCCTGTGACAACATACCCATCTCTTTCTGGTCATATTTACCACAGGATTGACCCAGACCAGACACAGACCTACACCAGTAAACTAAGGAAAATAAGGATCACTACTGCCTCTTTGGCTTTGAATCCCAACTTATGCCTCTGATAAAGAAGAAGAAGATGATGATGATGATGATGATGAAGATTATTACATATGGTCTGATCTTATTTATCCCTATTGCCAACATGGTCCGCATCTGGTCTAATTTAGTCTACATGTGAATATGCCCAGTTTTCATTTTTTGCTGGTGAACTTTTGGAAACCCTCTCCCTGTGCAACGTAAACTGTTATCAATTTTCCGCAGAAATGAAATTCATCCCATATCATCTCCATTGATTCCCTCATCATTATGAATACAATCCAAAGCAACCCCATTTCCTGATTCCCCCTACTAACACACACGAACATGCACCCGCATTACGTAAACGATGAACTTTCTTTGATGCTCTCCCCACTCATGTCATTCTCCAATGCTTTAATCTCTCGTCTCCAGATACCTGCTTTCTCCCACTATCCCCGACACAAGACTCCCCTGGGAAGAAAGCCCAAGCACCTGGGAACTATCGTCATTGCTCATCAGATTTCCATAATTGGACAATTAAGAGGAAAAGGAGATTAACTGATTTCCATGGAACTGCAGTAAGCAATAGTTTTGTTTTTTTCCCCCTTTTTTTTTTGTGCTGGTCAGACGTAGGTGGTTTTGTTTCTCTTTTGTTGTTTAAATCTGTTCTTTTCTACTTATTTGATAAGATCTAACAGAATGAATTCATTTTTCAAAAAATAAAAGAAAGAGAAAAAAGAGGAATAAAGATGGAAAAATACCTGTCTGCCTGCCCAACCCACAGTTTGGATCCTCACACAAAAGGTCACAGAAATCGCCCCCCCCCCCCCTCCCTTTTGTAGCCTCAAACCCAGCCTTCACTCATGACATCACAACACAACCAACAAATCAAAGCTGTGAGTTTACCCAGAGCATACAACTCCACACACACAGCCAACAGTTCTAACCTGCCTTCTCTAACACATACACACACGAACACACGTCTCTGTATGCCCACGTTGGTATGAGTGCACGTGCTTTCTCCACCACAACCATACACACGTGAAAGCACAAATTACCAAGATGTGAAATCCAGGAATTCTGGACCTGGACGTGTGGATGGCCAGAGCAGAAGCTCATTGTGGATTACTGTGAATTACTAGGAGGAGGGAATTGTTAGTGAGCAGGAGTTCATTGTGGAGTATAACAGTTTACCTGGAATAAAAGGTTGGTAGGTTGTACAGATTTATTTGAAGCAGGATTCTTCATTCCTTGGAGGTCTTATAGTTGATAACAGTTAGTTACTGAGAGGACTTGCAATCGAAGTGACAAGCTCATTGTATATTTAACAATGAAACCAAAAATTAGCTGGACTAAAATTTTTGAAGCAATCCCCAGGAGTAACAACTATAAAAAGGTTGGTACATAATAATTCCTAGAGTCAAAGATTTGTGGGTAATAGCGTCTTTCTAGGGGTATATAAATTATTACCTGGAACTAAATGTGGATTTTAGCATTTTTCTAAGAGAAAGGAGTTTTAAGTTTTGCAAGTGTACTTTTATATGTACTAAAGAACAATATATTGTGAGATTTGCCAGAGCCATAGCTTACTTTGAAAAGCAGTATTTTATTAGTAATGGATTCAGAGTTAGTGAAGCCATGTAAAAATGACAAAAAAATAGGCATGATTAAAGAAATTATTTCTATATAAGTTTTAGTGTAATTATCAATACAAAATTGTTGGGAAATGCACATGGTAATAGTAAGTAACAAAGACTGATATCACTGCATCTTTCTGTAATAAAAAATCATCAATACAAATCCCATTTTCAGTAAATACAGCAAATACCCCATAACTCTTATTTGTAATTTAATATTTATATTCATCAATTGCAGCACAGGCAATTATATCTTTAAGTTCAAAGTACTTGTTCCCAATTGATTTTATCAAAATATCAGAACAGACAAATAATAACTATTGTAGGACGCAGTTATTCAGAGTTCTACAGGAAGTGTTGTATGAACAAACAACATGTATTAACTGATAACACAGAAGATACATCACACGGGAGAATTCTATAGAAAAACCACACAACTACCTGTCTTAATTCCGGAATACATTATTTACCTGAATAA